TTTTGAGGGAAAAAAAAGACGTTTAAGTGCGCCTTATAGTCGTGAAAATACGGTAAATGAAAAGTCAAGCACAATTAACAAAAATTAACCCGGTTAGTTGCATTTTTTTTATTAATGTTTGGGATCCAGTGAAGCTGGAAGCTGATGCCACGAGTGCTTCGTATTAATTCAAGAAGTGGTTTGTCTGAGTAAAATTATCATGATTTTTTTTAGCTGTATCAGAACTTAGTGGGACAAATTGTAAAAATACCTGATTTTTAAAATGGTAAAAGTCCCCAAATTAAGCCCCAAATTTACAGAGATACCTTAATGTATCTACTTAAATGAAACTTCATAGCATTTCTGTTTCACTTTTTTTTACAGACTTATTACTCTACATGATCAACGTTCTATTTCACAGTACAATTACAGCCTTCTATTTAGTGTTTTTTTCTTCCTGGTGGTTTACCATTAATCTGTCATTGATGCAGCTTTTGGGTAACATTTCCCTTTCTCAATTATACCGTTACAGCAAACAAGAAACAAACAAATTTAGGAAATCATATTCATTATGCAAAACACTTGGTAGTGGTCGCATCACATTATCCTAAGTTACCCAAGATAAAATTATTTAAGGTCACTCAAATATTAGGCTAACAGTTAGCTATATAAACCAAGCTAGCATGATATTTTAACACTTTAGATGAAAGTAAAACATCAATAATTAAATTATTTGGAAAACTAAGGTTGGGTTTGTGTACTGGGAAAAATAAAGAAAAACATGTTTAAAGATAAAAGTGAAGGTTCAACCCTATAGTTGTAATGTCAAAGCTGCAGTGAATGCTGGGAGATGTAGTTCCAGACTGTTTATATGTAGTTAGATAAACACAAGGTTTATTAAAGTGAGATATCCTTTCTTAACCTACAATACCAAGTCTTTCTGCTGTGTTTGTCTTTCCAGACCGCCTTCAGGATTATGGTGGAAAAGAGGAGGATTTCTCTGACCAGCAGCTCTATGAGCAGGAAAAGAATTCCAGTTTGGACGCAGAGGAACCAGAACCTCTGCAGATAAAAGAAGAGCAAATAGAGCCAAAACATCCGTGGACAAAAGAGGAAACCATGGAGGTCCTCATTAGTGAGCAGGAAGAGCAGCTTGTTCTGCAGCAGGAGACTCGAGATACAGCAGAGAAGCCTTCCCCATGTTTGACATGTGGAGAAAACTGTTTAAAAAAAGAATATTTTATAGTTCACACTCACGCAGGTCAGAAGATTTATGAATGTCTACCTTGTGGAAAAATGTTCACAAGGAAATCTAATCTTGATAGTCACATCAGAATTCACACTGGTGAGAAACCTTGTTCCTGCACGATTTGTGGCAAAGGTTTTACTCAAAAACATCATTTGACTAACCACATCAGAACACACACAGGTGAGAAGCCTTTTAAATGTCTGTCCTGTGGAAAAAGCTTCACTCAGAAATCTCATTTTGATAGTCACATCAGAATTCACACAGGTGAGAAGCCATGTTCCTGCACGATTTGTGGCAAAAGTTTTACTCAAAAACAACATTTGACTACTCACATCAGAACACACACAGGTGAGAAGCCTTTTGAATGTCTGCTCTGTGGAAAAAGCTTCAGTAAGAAATCAATTTTTAATGGACACATGAGAATTCACACAGGTGAGAAGCCTTTTTCCTGCATGATTTGTGGCATAAATTTTACTCTAAAAAAAAATTGGACTATTCACATTAGAACTCACACAGGTGAGAAGCCATATTCCTGTACCATTTGTAACGAGAAGTTTACTGAAAACAGTGGTTTGACTAGACACATGAGAATTCACACTGGTGAGAGGCCTTTTTCCTGCACGATTTGTGGCAAAAGTTTTACTCTAAAAAGTAATTTGACTAAACACATGAGAATTCACACAGGTGAGAAGCCTTTT